GACTTTTTTGTACTTTTACAAAAAAAATTATTCATTTGGAAAGATGATTTTCCTGCGTGTTTAAATGTTATCTGAGGACAAATATATTTATGAATAGAGCTTTTGAGTTAGATGAAGAATGATCGATTCAACAAAATTGAAATTTCAAAGGATAATATAATCAACATTCAGTTAGAGATGAAATTTTCTATAAAAATCAAAGAAAATTCAATTGACATTTATTCATATATTCAAATCTGAATAGTTCATATGTATCTCATAGACTATACAATACATCAGTGAACTGTTACACCATTCATATAGAATAAAGTCAATCTTTAATATCTACATGAACAATTATCAGATGAGTTGTTTCATTAGATAAGAAAATCGAACGCTTCTATAGAATGAAACACACTCGCACTAGATTTTTCAAATGTCTATAATACAAAGAATGACAACATTTTGAAAATCTCTCTTTTTGTTATTCTTCCATTCTTGCTTGATTATAATTTATAATTCAATAAATAATCATGTTTTTCTTCATCAATGTGAAAATGATTCACACAATTGAGATTTATATGTATGTAGAATAGTTTTAATGGAGAATAAAACATTTTATTTATTAAATAAATTAAAACAAACAGTTTTTTAATATTCTAAAATTGCCTAAATATTTGTTTATTATAATAATACATTCAAAACGTTTTTTTTCTTGATGAAAAATATTCATTCAGTAAGTGTTTCCCTTGTTTTTTTTCATTTGTATGTTGCCATGATGTATTATGTATGCAGAAAAAGAAACGATAGAAACTACGTTGTTTCATAGAAAGAGAATTGCATATTAATAAAACAATGATGACAACAAAAACTTAACTTTTTCTTAATAGAAAAAAGAACCTTCATAACTACACTAAGCAACTAAGTTGATGACACGTTTTTTTTCTTCTAATATTTTGTCGAAGAAAAATAGGAGAAACATTGTTTCAAAATTTGAATATAATATACACAACTCCAAGATAAATGATTATTTCTGATAAATGAATATTCTTTTTTTTCGCTTTCAAGTTGTAATGACAATGCGTTGTCTACTAAAGAATATGTTATACAGGAATATATTGGCATTTATAAATGTTTGTTTTATCTCCTTCGTTCAAGCCAGTATCAGTCTAAGAGTATTGATTATATCTATATTCTTTTTGTGATAGAGAAAAACAGATCAATAATGATTGCGTGAATAATGCAATTCTAATATTTACTGTACGATACTAGATATCAAGTAGTTATGGACTACCAATCAAGAATATAAGCAATAATGATACCATAAATCATAATTAGAAGTTAAAAAACACAACATTTGATGATTCAAATGCTCAAGTGATTGATCGAAGATCGGTTACAATACAACTATTTGTTCAATACAATATATCTCCATCAGCTCGTGTATACAACTCATAGAATCGAATATTGTGACGTAGAAAAATTGTCTGATAAATAAGTGAAACATACATTAAATAAGAAAGGCATTATTTTTCTACCATCTCCACTATTTCATAATAATATAAATATGACATAATTTAAAAAAAAGATATTATAGAGGTGATGATGAAATTAAAAAAACAGTTACAAATAGAAATATTTTTTAATTCAACAGCTGCAAGTTTATTTCAAGGAAAAGACTTGACCTGCAACTTTTACATTTCGACAAAACTTCAATCGTAGTAATCATTTTTATTTTGTAATGAAATAGGTAATTATCAGATAAGGATAAATTGACGAGAAATCCACTCGATCGATTTCAGATAAGTTTAACAATCAGATCTCAAGATAATGATAACATGGAGACATTTTCTCGGTAAATTGTTATTAACCTCTACAGACTGGTTTTTCTTGTTACTACATCATTATTTTGGTGTTGTGTGGGTATGAGAAAATATCAATATTTATATCCATTTAACTGTCTCATTCACACTTTCAAATGGAACCAAAGTACACCTGATCGATATTATTTGCTGTTTTATTGTTTCGTATGATTTTGCTCAAAAAATATAAAGAATATATTACATCGCTCTTTTGCTTCTTCATTGTAGGAAGGCAACATCTGTCGATGAAACAATATAAATATATGACTCACATGCTTTGTTAAATGTTGTTGAATAATATTAAAATAAATATGTAAAAAGTCAATTATTTTTACTGAAATATTTAAACAAAGAGAGAAAGATTAAAACTCATTTGATTATTTTTATTCGTAAAAAAAGCGTCTATCGAGTATTTTATTCTATTACTCTACGATAAAATAAGAATGTTAAATAAATTTATATTTGATCCTTATGCTTCATAATAAAACTAAAACCAATTCTATATTATTTTTTATCCGATAGATAATTATGTAATCAAAGTATAGAACTGATAATTGTGAATTTTATTAGATTATGAGAATTTTTTTGTAAAATCATAGTTTTATATATGTTAATTCATATTAGATTTTATCTTTGTATTCTCTCATATTAAACCATTGAAGAAACAATCAAATATTTTTCAACATTACCGAAATTATATCATTGGAATTAATATATGCTGAACTATTTAACTAAAATACATTGAAATTCTTTGAGTAATTAATCAGACTATTATATAAATGTTATTTTCTTCTTAATATCTTTATTTTTCTTCTGCTAGAAATTGATATTAGACTATTTCTTTGCATGGAAATAATAATACCCAAACATCATTTCTTTTAAATCAACATCAGTTTTTACAAAAACAAAATAGTTTGTTACTTCCATCATATTCAAATGGATCTGTACCATTTCTGTTTCTTTGTAACACATTTCGACAAGAACTTATAACTAAATTAACTTTTTATCTTGTGAATATTTCAATTTTATTATCTGAATTGCATAATATTCACCCATCATATGTAAGCACCATTCTATTTTTGTTGACTATTATTAATAAAGAAAGATAATGGTAAGAATTATATAGCTGATTTAAATGTATTGCTCACAAATAGTTGAATATCTTATAAGAGGTTATATTTTACATTAATACGTGTAGATACCGACGAGATCAGAGTGAGTATCTACTAGTCGGATCTTTTGGCTTCTTTTTAAAAGTAAAATAAATTATATTGTAAAATTGGAGAGAAATCAATGCATAAACACAAACGAATTTACATATCCTGAGAATCTCATTTTCTAAGATATTTTTAAGAAACTGTTGCTATTGTTGTTTTTTCATTGTTTCAGCGAAAAATTATTCTTGTTTAGTTAGACGAGTTAGTATATTTATATAATGTATTTATTCAACGACATAAGTATCAAGACAATGCGGAAATACATGAAAACAATGTTCCTATAAATTCAATTACATATGATCATAGTTTTTCGTTGAACGAAGATGTACGTAACTGTTGTGTGATACTAAGTAATTTCTTGTTGACGTATAATAAATGGTGAATGTGATAGAAAATCGAAATTACATCTGTATGTACAAGCCCATGGATAATTAGTGATTTTGGTCTAATATTAATATAATGATAGAGGACTGTATTGTGTTCACGTATTGTAATATGAAACGCCGAGTGAGATGCGAAAGTTTCATGTGCATTTAATATATTTGGTTACTTGAATAGTTATCAATGTTGAAAAAGAGAATGGCGCAGTATAAAAGTGGTAACCGAACTTTTAAAGTTAAACGTACGAACTGCAAGTTGTTTACAATATAAATGTTTCGTTTCAAAATCTACGCGAGAATTCAATATAGAAAGCCCATGAAGGTTAACAGAACGAAGATATTCACGAATGAAATGTATTTTGGGTGTTATATTGTCGTGAGAACGCAATTGTTTACATAAATTGTTCTGATATGTTAACCATGAGTTTCTATTTGGATTAGCATATGTGTATCTAATAATTTCACGGTAAGTAGTATACAACAGAAATGATTAATTATTTCGTAAAATATAATTGAAAATAATCGAAGCAGACATAGTTTTTGACTTGCAGAATCAGAAATGTTTAAACGACTTAAACCTTCGTTTCTTCTTAGAAGGAGGTTCGTCTGATAAATCATAAAATGCGACGATGAAATCTATGATGTGCCTTGTTGAACAGCTTCTTTTAATACAACATTTCTAATAAGTGGGCATACACCTTAATAACAAAAGAAACCTTTTAAGTCTATATATTATGTAATAAAATTATTACTGATTTCAGTCAAATATTGAAATACGTGCTTATTCATCTAAGCTATAAGAACAATTAACTTTACTAATTTTTAACATCAATTCAGAAACTATTAGTAATAAATTTTGTATTTTGTTCACATTCAAAACAAGCATAGAATGATGAATGATAAAGCTCATCTTTCAATAAATAATATTACCTTCAAGTAAATCGTGCATTATGTCTCGTGGTAACGATTCATATGAGTGACAACTAATAACGTCTTTAACATCTTATATAATCTGACGATTATTACTAGCTATGACTTGATTGACAATCACATCATGCTTCAAACGTGTTCGAGGTGCAAATGACAGATCAGTAAAAGAATGAGTCGCTGTTTAAATGTTTTCTATAGCACAGACAGTGTAATCCAATACAATTCAATTGCGATCGAATAAGTTCTCGTCAAGCATCTAATAGATGATAAAAACAAGTTAGTTTATGTCAATCTTTTTTTGGGCCCATTGGATTCGTAATGCCAATATCATCACTATATAACTTAAGTAATGATAAATTTGATGTTTTCGTTTGATGAGAAATATTTAATTTAATGCGACGACTTTGTCGATTTGTGGGTGTGGGTTGGAATACGTCTTCTTCATCCACACCCACCCTCAAGATATTAAGTGTCCTGAAATTAACTAAACAACATTAACTTTTGTATTTATCAGTTCCTAAGTACTCCTATGCTTTTAAGCTCACAAATTTTTAGATATAAGATGAACTGAGTTGCTTGCAATGAAAATTTAGTTTATTAGATAATATCAAAATCATTTATTAAAAACAAAATTATAAAATGAATGGTATCACAGCTTTACGATTCTTTGGATATTCATCTTTAAATTTTTCAAGATAGAATCTAAATAAGAAAATTAAATTTCGATACATATATATCGTTATGATAACAGACTTATGATGATGAAGAGCACGACCAAATGCAATATTAGCCCAAACAAATATTGAAAATGCAAGTGCTGGTAATGTCCAAGCACAAATAGCATAACCTGTCCATTCTATTGATTCAGCCAGAAAATTTGCACCAGAAACATATTCAAATAGACCACCTTAAAAATATTAAAAAAAAACTAGAATTCATCTGAATGAATAGCTATTATTCTACCTCTCGGAATTTTATAACCATGTTCATTATTATCTTTTCGTAAGTTTCTTAAAATTGAATCGGCCTGAAGATTAAGAACAAAACCAGTAAAGAAAATAATACTTCCTTAATATATAAAATTATTAGAAATTTTTTTATTGAACAAAGAACTCAAACCGATTATAAAATGTAATGATAGCCAATCATTTCTTGGAAAAACATGATATGCTAATATTTCTTCGACTATTGAATAAGTATTGATACAACAATAGATAAATGCTGTTAATGTTATTGAAATTGAACTATGTTTTCCTCCACGAATTAACATTGGATAAATAAAAACTCTTATAAAAGAAAATAAATATCAATATTTTTTTTAAGAATTTAATAATACCGTTGAAAATAATGTATTAGAAAAAATATTATAAGAAGAAATTTAATTAATGATATTGATGACCAATATTGTGATAGAAGGTAGCATGGAATAATAAAACAAGGAAGTTCTTGTAAAAACCATGCTAGTCTTCCGGGTATTCCATGATTGCTCTCATTATAACGTCCATAAGGTGCTTTAATACCCAAAAAACCTTGAAAAATTACTATGAAAACTGAAGAAATAATCCATGTGTATGGACAAATATAGGTAACAAATAGTCGATCATTAAAAATGTGCTGTAACATCTGAAATGAATTAAGCAATTGATTTAGCATCTCATCTAACTGTTTACGACTTAATTTTAATTCCTTCTATAATCGACATCTGTATAATAAAAACAACATTCATTATTAATAGCATTTTTTAGAAAAGATCTGTATGAATCCTAATTTTTGATAAACTAACGCTGTTTGAAAACATTACAAAAAGTTTTTTGAGTTACCAGTATTTTTATTACAAATTAAAGCAAATAAAACATCTTAATTATCAATATGAATAAAAAACAATATGATGATGTCATCTATGACAAATGATACCCATTTCCATTCCTTATATTTATCGCCAAAAAAAACAATCCTTATTTAAAATAAAGATAAAAACCCATAGATTACATATTAAAACGAAGAAAAAAGAATGAGATTAAGCAGCTTGTTCGCCTGTAAACCAGTCAGGTACAATTCCATTTTCTAAATATTTTTCACGTATAATTGATTGAGATTCAAGTGTATCAAGAGCACCGATAATAGAACCTATATAGAAATTAAATAATATACAAATTACAGTCAGAAATAAAAAATTAAAGTTATACCTCCCAACCATGCCGTATAATTTAATTGAGATGGTGGAAGATGAAAATGAAATTGTTTTATTGCTAACTTATTTACATATGTTGAAATATTAACGAGATGAAGTAATTCTGAATTGAGTCGATGTAAAAATCCAGGCATCATTGCTGTACCACCAATAACAAGAATATTATCAGCAAATTGTCGACGAAGATCAAGAGATGACTATTAAAAGAAAAAAGTTTTTCTTATAATAAATAATATTTAAGCATTCATACTTGAATTAAAGCATCGAGTATCAATGTAGCAACTGATTTTCCATCAATATCTTGTTCAAAAAGAATTTCACAGGCGAATTCTCTATATACATATATATATTAGAATAATTAAATTCAATTGGATCTAAAATAATTATACCTAACAATGCCTGGAATATGAATAATTGTATCTGCACCTAATGAATATTCAACTGATGAAGCTTCTTTGAATGATTCATCTGAACCTAATTTAGTCTTAGCATACATTTGCGCACGCGTAAATGGAGAAACAAAACAACAACGAACTAAAATAAATATTCTTAATGTCTTTCCTTTTGTTATCTATAATTTTATATAATCAAACCTTTGATATCTTCGAGAGTATCTTCTGAAAGTTTAAGATTAACTTCGTTAAACGATTGTTTATGTCCTTGATGGATAACGAAAGCATGTTGTTCAAGTAACAACTGAATTTGTCTAAAATAAATTTTTTTTGGAAGGTTTTATCTCTTTTTCTAACTCATACTTATGAATAGCTTCACCGGCATATGATAAACTATCAAATTGAACTGCTAATGGTACACCTTCAGCCACTGGCATAATTTGAGCTTCTTTATAACCAATATCAAGTACGAGTGCTGTACTTCGACCTAATGTATATGTAGCGCCTAAATGTGATGGAACAAATGCTAAAGATGATGCCTTTGAAAAAAAAGAAAATGTTTAATAAAAATATTGTTAATTAAATAATTATTCAAGCAGACTTCAAATTGTTTTAATAAAATATCAGCCAAAACATGTCGAATACGCGTAGGTGTAATTACGGATTCAACAATGACAACACGTCGTTCTCGACAATTTGCAATATTATATCTAAACTCAATAATTGTAAATTTTGATATGATATTTATTATTGACATACTTATAATAAACTAATCGGATAAATTCAGTAAGACGATCACGTAAACTTGTTATGTCTAAATTCTCTTCAAAAACATGTTTTGTCTAAAGAATGGAAAATATTACAAATTATCATAGAATATAAGGAATACTTTTCCACGAATCGTAACTGTTGTTGGAACAATATGACGTGGCGAAGCATTACCTGCAAAGCCGCATCTAATTTTATGCATTATAACATTTCGATTTTCTAAATTCTAATCTACTTACTTTGTATATGCATGCCCGATATCAATAACCACTGCTGTTTTCTCACTAGCTGCAAGACTATCAATAAACGACGTCATTTATAAAATCTAAAATGATAATAACTACTTTCATTTTTATACACGTAATTGTTCATTTATTTCACTTATAATTAGAGAAAAGGAAGTCATCGAAAGCATTTTTATATATATTTATGAGTAAGTGCACACTTCAAAAACAATAATAATGGAACAACAACAACTAAAGTTAAAAACAAATATGATTACGTATCGTCGTTTAAATATTCAACATAAAATGAATGAAGCTAATCTCACAAAAGATCATTTATTAAATTTAAAAATCCACAAACATCGAGAAGAAATGTTCAATCGAAAAGTTGATCGTTTAAGAAAAAGTGTCGAACATTTACAACCCTATATTGATAATGATACTAATGATCAACAAACATCCACAACACCAATACATAATAAATCAAGCAAACAAATAACCAATCACCTCCCACTTATCCGATCTCGAACAAATTCAAAAGATGAAAATAATTTTCAAACATTTCTCAACCAACAAATACTTAATGAATATAAAAATCAATTAAAATATGATGAACGTAAAGCAATTCTCCTCAAAGAATTTGATGAACTTAAACATACCATCAATGATCCCCATTCAACTTTATCTGTACTTGCTGCTCTCTCTCGAGCACTTCTCTATTTAGATTCTGGAAAAAAATAAAGACAAAAAAGTTTTTTTTTTCTGCTTCACAAAACATGTTTGTATATTTCGATAAGATCTTATTAATCATAATAACAAACAAACAATATTTAATTGTTATTTTCTTTTTTTTTTATACTGTTGTTATTGTCGTTGTTGTTGTCGAGATGATGGAGATGTCTGATCTATTTTAAGCCACAGATTGAGCATTAGCAGCAATACGAGGCCATAAATCGGCGCATTCTTTAGCCACTGGTCCAGTTATAGCTGAACCTTTCATTTCACCTTTGTTATTGACAATAACACCGGCATTATCTTCAAAATAGATAAATGTACCATCTTTTCGGCGAAATGGTTTACGTTGTCGAATGATGACGGCGGGCATAACTTTTTTACGTAAATCTGGTTTGCCTTTCTTTATGGTTGCTAAATAAAAAAGAAAAGAAAATATTATACATAATATGAAGTTTTATTTTAAAAACTTACAAATAATCATGTCTCCAACGCAAGCAGCTGGTAATCGATTGAGTCTTGCACCGAAACCTTTAACTGAAATAACGAATAAATTTTTTGCACCAGTATTATCAGCACAATTGATAACTGCACCGACTGGTAAACCAAGTGAAATACGGAATTTGCCACCTCCGACACCACCACGACCTCTTTTAGCCGACATGATGTTTCGTTAATATTAATCTAGAAATAAGAAGATTTATATTAAAACAAAACAAAATTCCAAATTAAAATATTTCAATATATACACATACATATGAGAGAAATATTAGTAACATATTAGCAGAAAAAAAAAACAAAAAAATATACATTGAAACCAATGGGTTTTTGTTTTTAACAGCAACAATTGCGATTAACATTATCAACAAGAAAAAAAAATCAAAGCAATAACAACAGAATGATAAAAACGAATGGTATACACAGTAATACAGAAATCGAAAAATTGATGATATCACACACTTTTTATAATTCAGTATATTAACAATTATATTTGTCAATTCATTCTGAATGTCATCATTATATGTACAAGAATAATCAATTATAGACACCGAGACAAAAAAAAAGAGATTCACATATTATTAGGTGCTGTAGTGATAGAATTTGCTGTTGTTGTTATTATTGGATTTGTTAAACTTGGATTTTTTAAAATACGTTTAACTCGATAATCATATACATAACGACAAAAAAATATATTTTGATTACCGACAGTTTTAGCTGGTAGTGGACGATCATGAATAGATGAAGTATTTTTATTTAATAATGATTTCAATTGACCAATTGGTTCAGAATGTTCAAAGAGATTCGTTGATTTTTCACGTAAACAATATCTATATAAGAGAGAGAGAAATGTCTTATTCTAATAAATTCGTAATAATATTTACCGATTATATTCATTTAGATTTAATACATAACATTTGTCTTCAATACATGCTACATTAACACAATCCCAATATTTCGAAGCTAAAAGTTCATTTCGTAAAAAACGTTCTTTAACACGTAATGGTAATTCTGCATGTTCAGGATGATAATACCAGATAATTGACATTTGAATCTCATCTAGAAAAAAAATATTTAATATTTAAAAATATAAAATATAGAAATAGATTCTACCTGATAGTGGTTCTAGCCAAAACCATTTGACTTTAGCTAAATATGGTGTTACATCCTTATGCGTACCGGTTTCAGATCGTAATATTACACAATCATTCGATTTAATAATATCTTTTTCTGTTACATGTTGAATCGATGAATAGCATTCGCGAAATACAGGTGGTTTGTCAGCCTTAAATTTTAAAATTATGTTTAATAAAAAAAAAAAAGTATTAGTTACATGAATTGAAACAAGTTGTTGTTCTGATTTTCCAGATAAAATCCAATAGTTTAAAACTTTTTCTTTTTTTCTTTTATTTGGTAACGATGCTGTGATTGAAGCTGGTGAATGAGATCGTTTTTTATTTATCGATGTTTTCGAACGTATTGGAATAGATGATGCTGAATTTGTACGTTTTCCACGCGAACTTTTACCCGTTATTGAAACAATTGCTGTTGAATTAGCCGTAGCGGCTGAAGTACTACGACGTTTAGGTGACCGTCGAGAAGATTTCTGGTCGGCCACAGGCAAATTATCGTTTGAATTTAGAATATTCGGCAGCGGTGAATTAATTGTTATTGGGTTAGTATTGACTTTTTTTTTTGGTGAAGTTTTATTATTAATTGACGCTATAGATGAACTAAAATAGAAAAAAGTAATATTGAATTTCTGTTTCATAGAGTTCATGATCACACTAAGTCGATATCGATTTTAACTGTATTCTGTACGGTTAATTTTATTCGTCTTACCTATTGGATTTAGCTCCACTGCTTATCCGTCTTTTTACTGGAGAAGATTTTCTTCGCGTCGTTTTTTTTATTGTTTCATTTTGTTGATTTAAATTTGTTTTATTATTTATTGAAAGATTTAATATTTGATATTCTGTTGTCAGTGGAATTTCTTCATCTTCTCGTTGAACAACATTATTCACACTGACTGGTATAATAGTTGTTGTTTCTAGAAATTGATCTTTAGTTTTTTGTGGTGATGACAGCACTGCTTTTGTTTTCCTTCGATTCGAAGAATTAAGTGACGATGTTGAATTATGTATATGATGATGATGATGTGTATGTAAATGTAATGTTAAAGCTTCTTTGTCTTTATCAATTGGAACAATTGCCTTTTGTTTTGTATTGAATGTTATCGCTTTTTTTATTTTACCTTTTGAATGTATCAAAGATGTTTTATTTGATAATGGTTGAATGAGTGATGTTGATGATTGATATGACCAAGCTAAATAAAAGAAAAGATTAAAATTACTAACAAATATTTGAAATATAATTGAGAGAAATGATAGATATATGGACAAATATTCACTTGAAATCATATATTGATAGTCTAAGAAGTAATCAGTGAAAGAAAGAAAAGGGAAATAAGAGAAAGCGAATAGAATAATAAGTGTCGAACTGTATGTGCGAAATTATTTCGCAAATCTACATACCAGTAGCTGTTTTCAATTGATATAAAAATATACTTTTCTATCTACAACAATTGAATAAGATGATAATCGAAGCGAGAAAGTATATTTAATTAAATATTATATTATTATTTTTATACACGAATATTGTATCACAGAATAATAAAATAAAAAGCAAATCTTCTTTCTATATAATAAATTCGATTACTATTTTTTAAAAAAACTCAATTGTTCACATATAACACATGAAAATGAAATGTATACATATCACATATGAATTATTGATCCATCTTACCGGGATATTGCCAACAAGGTAAAAGAGGATAAAATGAATGTATATCAAGAGGATATGCAGTTGATGGGAAAAGAAAAGCAGGTGTTGTAATATTATTTTTTATTGAATGTGATAATTCATTAGATACAATGGATGGCGCTAAAGACGAAAAAAAACAAAGATATTTTTTCTTGAAAAAAAAAGAAACTAATTAGATATGATCATACTTGGTATCTCTTCAATATTTGAATGTGATGCTAGACCTGAAGATTCATTATCTGTTGTATGATCGATTGGTTCTGAAGAATTTTCATGTGATGATAAACGACCACATAAAGCTAATTCTTGTGTCCATTTAATAAAATTATCATGTTTTTCTGTATGATATGATGGTAGAGTTGCATTTAAACGATTATGTTCCGCTAAACTAGCTTCTGTTAATATTGAATATTTTGAATTACTCAACATTGTTGTTGTTGTTGTAGTATTTGATGATCGAGCATATTCAATTTGATTTGGTAAAGTTGTTATAGATGGTATGTTGGGTTTAATAGGTTCAATAGAGGGTTGTTCTTGTGGAATATCACTTTTATTTATAACTGTACTTTTAGCACGATTTGGTCGAATAACTGTTGTTGAAGTTTTATTAGTGAACGAATAAGTATACCGACTACGTTCAATTTCATTTTGTTGCATAATCATTGCTGATGCACGTGAACTTGCTTCACGACGAACACGAGTATTTGACTCTATTTGAGCATGTTTTATATCAGATCTAGATGAAACATTTGAGATTTGACGTTTACGCTGTGGTGATTTTGTCTAGAAAAGAAAATTTATATATATATTAATAATGATTTATTTTTTTTTATTTAAGTTTTACATTTTTAGGAAGAGATTTGGTTGAATGATTTAATTTTCTTGATGGCGAAAGAATACTTGTACAATAATGAACAAGTGCTGCTGCTGTTAAACTTGAAAGACGTTTTTGTCTTGGTTGGGTTAATATTGATGAATTTTGTTCGAGATGACGTTTTGTTGGAGAAGATTTTTTTATTGATGTTTTATTTGAAATTGTGATAGTTTTTTTCTTTGATTTGGATGGAGAAATTGGTGATGCTACAGCAATTTTGGATGAACGAGTACGTTGAGGCATAATGAGAGAAAAAATGCTCGTGTTTAAAGTATTGACAATATTCACACTAATAAAGGATATTAGATATCCAAATTTTATAATGAAAAAAAGAAAATATAATAAATAACAACGACTAAGTACCATTGGACTCTCTTGTACGTCTTGAGAGAGTTTTTATGTTAAATATACAATGTTTAATTAATGAATAAAAATAATTTTAAAGTTTATTTTTAAGTATTTTATTCATAATAATACTAAATAAAGTAAAAAATTTTATTTTCGAAATTAATAATCAATCGAAAGATGTCGCTCAAAGATAATGAAGTTTAATATAAAATTGGCTGAACATAAAGTGACAAAAAAATGAAATTAATATGACCATTTGATATTATTTCAGTATATTAAACAAACATATTTCTCTACTTTAAATATCATCTTAAGTGAAAGAATTTAAGTCAAACAGTAAGGCGTTTAAATGGCAGTACTTTTCACCCTGAAGAGTATTGCTATTGTCTCATTAAGCTCATAATTTTTCGTATGACAGATAATATGATCGACATAAGTATGCAATACGTTTTCACTTTAACTATATCTTTATTCTCATCGTATTTGCGTGGATGTGACTATAATGATAAAATCCCTAGCAAAATGAAAAGAAACAATGGCTATTTTACTGATATTTGCTCTCCCTAACTCGACTTACTAGTGCGTTATGAAGAATTCTACCATCTGCTGAGCTAATTTTGTCTATAACTTATCCTTTTATCTTTTCTCACTTTTAGCTTTTCTTCGAACATCGAAATCATTCCTTTTCATCTCTACTTAATAAACTGTATTAAATGAATGTTCAGTGGTCAACATCTTATAGAATAAAAAGCTATGCCTCAAGAATAAAACATGTGTGATATTTTCAAACATTCTTCTCTGATAAAGATCATTTATTGATCCATTAATCATAATTTATGTATAATTACTCATGAATTATCACTTGTCATGAGTCAAATACTTAATAAATGAACTATAGAAAGAAAAACAAAAAATTTACATAGCGTAACCATTTATTAACAAAAAGAACAAAAACAATAAAAAGAAATATCTATTCTATTATATTGATGATTTTTTCCATTCAATTCCTTCTTCTAGAAAACACAAAATAAAAATATGATAAAATATTCAAATAATCATGATCTCACCTTCAAGTAATGCATTTGATCGACAAAAAATATTTGTATTAAAAAATTCTCCTGTTTGTTCAGATCTAATAACTAGACGAAAATCAAGTTGAGATTTTTTTAATTGATAAATGGCAATTTTATTCTTGGCATTATTTCCAATAAATGCATAAGATCTTTCATTATTGTCTACGTATTAAAAAAATATGATTATCTTTTTAGATAATTTATAATCTTATCTTACCGAATGAATTGATATTGTTCATCTGTTTAAGTTGACATTGCTTAAGGCGAGTGAGAATAAGATGAGGAAATCTAATCAAGAATATACAGTTGATTATAGCTATTTATTAGATAACATACCGTTTTGAACGAGAACAAACTTCCTCTTTGTTTATTTTGAAATAGATTGATGAGTCTTGAATAATAACATCAGTAGGATGATTATTTTTCTTTGGATATGAATAAAGAAGTGGATATGGATGAATAAATGATATATCTTGATAAGGAAGAGTAAGACGAGTAACACGTATGAAAAGATTAGAATTGTCGGAGAAAATTGATGGAAGCTAAAAGTAAAGATATACACGATTGATTTATAGAATCATAGTTAAAACTAGTAGATTTCTATTTTACATACCGCAACAGTAACATATCGACCATGCATTCCTTTAAGATATCGTCCTGAAACATTTTTCTTTGTTTTTATTCTTGTATTCACAAAATTTCCATTGAGCGGTGTATTTGTAATTTCACTTAGATAACGTACATGATAGTATGGTTCAGGTGGATTAATAAATGAAAGTGAAATATCAGATTGACATTTAAAATCCATTGGTGGCTAAATAATATATAATTATTCAGTAACGAATGAAAGATCAGCATATATTAAACTTACAGATTTGACTTGAACAATATATTGCTGTGATTTTGTATCGGTATAAATTGATGATAAATCAGACATACCTAAATAAATTCATAGTAGAATTACACTATAGTACAGTTACAGTTATTCACACTTACTCGGTGGAATATCAAAACTAGAACTTGATAATAATTCATCAAAAGATATTGTTTCTTTTTCTTCGGAAAATAGATCAAATGAAGGAAAAATATGATTTAGATCACTTGGAACTAGATGATGATAGAAGTTTTTTTTTTATAAAATTTATATACATATCCAATTCAAAGTGAAACTTACTATCAATATCAGTAATATCTATTGATAGAAGACTGTTTTCATTATTCTCTAATTTTATTGCGGTTGAATTGAAAGATATATCTTGAAAAATTGGTGATTCTTCTTTTGCCATTGATTGCTTATGTCTGTCTTGTTAACAACTAGAATAGAACCAAATCATCATATGTATATCTTGTCATGGCAAGTGAAAGAAAATGAAATGAGTATCTTTTTTTTTCTGCTCATCTTCTGAATGGTGGTGATAAACGAATAAGAGAACATGTCTATATATATTCTCACACATTTCTTCTTCTTCTTCTTTTTTTTTTATTTCTAATCATGATATACAAATGTAATTTTCTTTGAATGAAGAAAGAAAAACAAATCATACAAATATGAACAATTATTAATGTCTATTGAATTTATGAGACTTTAGATAAGTTACACTACTATAATATAATCAATTAGCCATGAGTAATGGTAGTTTTATTTTAAAGCATGAATTCAACTTTTCGAGTAGCCAGAGTTGAAAGAAACATCAGCATTGCATGGGAAAATTTTCTTTTATCTCAACACTTATGATATATTTGTCTATGTAGCTACTTCTTTTTATTCTCTTATCTTATAATTCTTGATACATCAATGTTAATTATTATCATTTTTCTTTTAAATTATAAATTACACAAATTGTTGTTTTTTTGTGTCAGTATTATCAAATCAAATTTGTATTCATTTTCATTTTTGAATTGATAAGAAACAGAAATATTTCTTAGATCTGTTATATTTCAAAATGGTCACTTCCGTTTTATTCCAATCTTATGAAATGTTTGAGAGATCATTAGATAACGATTGACAGAAACAATAGATTCACATCTATGTTTCCTAATTGTTTTTATATCAAGAGATTGAATCAGAATCATACATATCAATTCGACAGTGAGCTGATGAATACAATGTTATTTATTGAGAGCTGATTTAAATCATTCTTGAAAATTATACAAGATATATATATGTCAATACTGTTATTTTGATGCAATTTAAATTAGAATGTAGTCATATAAGAAAGCAATAGAATTTTTCATTGTATATTTTAATCATTCTTTAGATAAGAAAGTCATATGAAGAAAGCATTTACCTAATGATCGATTAAGCCAAACTAACTAACTAAAATACAATGGCATTTAGTATATGTATGTAAGACAATTATCCTATACAAAAAAATCCTTTTATCTTAAGTATTTAAGCAATTTTTTCTAGTTTAACTAAAAGAAAATTTAGACAGTAAGAACATTGAATAAAACTGAGGTAAATTTAACATGAAGTTTCTGAATATTTCTTGTATCAATTGATTATAATATTTAACGATGCCATAAATAATCCAATATCATATCTATTATAAACTTATGTGTTATAACAAAACGTTGACTTTTTGCAGCTTTGTGAAAGATTATCAATTGTAATCAAAAAAATTTCTTGATTCGCCGATAAATAATGATGATAAAATCAGATTGAAACAATTCCATTTGAAAATTGAAGTATATCTAATTGATACATATTTTTTGTAAGATTACTTACAATGATTATAGTTCTCGTTGCACCCAAAAACCAAGAGAGAAGCACACGTTCATATAAATCTGTATTCTAAATAAAGACACACCGTGAATAATAAACCATAAAAATTGTTCTGGAGTGAAAAAATTGTATGTATTGTATATTCGAACCAAAAGACACTGATACAAAGCGTTTTCACACACTGTATTTATAGTCCGAGAATTAATAAGTAGAACGTGAATGTATGCTATGAAAAGAAAACAACATCGCAATAAACATACCTTGAACTGATAAAATAAAAATGCCATAAAAGAAGCACGAAGAAAGAGAAACGTGTTAGTATTTTATTTTTATCATGCGCAAAACTGGAATCGTATACATTATATATCATATTCCTTGGTATAATCCATTAATCAACGTATACTTTCAAGTAATAGTCAATTGAGTAGTAATCGATGATGATGATAATGCAAATGCCGATACAACACAATACCTTGAAAAACATAATTATAATAACATAAAGAGATATCTTTTTGTATTTCATATCTTACATCGAATCATTTTCCCATCTAAAATATAAGCTTGTATAATATTTTTTTTTCTTTATAAAAATTTGTTCACAGACTGTATAATTGTACTTCCATCAACTGCAAAATCCCATAAACAAGCATTACTCATATGAATATTTTCATTTGTTTTAGGAATAATCATTGCAGTAATAATTGTTTTAAATGAATCTTGAATTTCAAACAATGATCGTTGACATGAATCAACAATTTGTCGAGTCCATTTATCAATAAGTTCTAATCGATATTGATTTGAATTGAGAATCTCTTCAATTATTTTTCGAATAATATCCGTCGTTTTAGTAATATCAAAATCATCTATAGACATATGAACATAAAAAAATACTTTGGCGGTCTTTTTATTTGTTTTCAACTGTTCAATAGTATGACATCTTATGAAAACGATACAAAAAAATATTTTCACGGTTGGTTGGTTTTCATTCATTGGTTGTTAATAAATCAGCTGATTGATAATTACTCACTACTGCATAGAATAATTATAGTCACCGACTTATAAATGTCTCGTCGAGTAAAGATCTTGTTTGTTTCATCATCATTTACTTTAATTATTTATCTACTTCGTCGTTATCGTCGATATCTTCTACGTAAAACACGGCAAACATCAGTTACACAAGGATCTCTAATAAATATTCCTTCTTCATCATCATCATCATCTGGTATTTCAGTTAATAAACGATTTTTAAATCAACTTTTAGTAATTATTCGAATATTTAATCCACGTTTTGGAAGTGATGCATTTTTTTTACTAATTACACATGTAACTACACTTATTTCACGAACATTTCTTTCCATTTATATTGCACGTCTTGAAGGTGCTATTGTAAAATCATTAGTACAACGAAATCTACGTGATTTTATTCGTACAATTTGTATTTTTCTTACTGTCGCTGTTCCATCGAGTTTTATCAATAGTTTAATTCGATATACTGAATCAAAACTGGCATTAGCTTTTCGTACAAAATTAACTCGTTATGCTTACGACTCATATTTTCGTGTAAGATATTTTTCTATATTTCATGTAGTTCTATAATTTTTTATCTATAGAACCAAACCTATTTTCGTGTATCGAATTTAGATAGTCGTTTACTTACACCAGATCAAAATCTAACAGATGATATCGAAACATTTGCATCTACACTGACACATCTGTTTTCTCAATTAACAAAACCATTTTTGGATGTTGCGATCATAACATGGACACTTGTTAGAATGGTTCAACAGAAAAAAACTGCACGAGGTCTTAGAGGTAAAATTAAGATAATATTTATATTATTATTTCACGCCATTTTTTCTTGTAATAGAAGTACCTATTTTAACAATTATGGTTATTTTTTTAACATTTTGGGCTCTACGAAAACTTTCGCCACGATTTGGTAGACTTGTTTCGGAAGAAGCGAAACGACGAGGTTTACTTCGTTTTGCACATACAAGAATTATTGCAAATGCTGAAGAAATTGCATTTTTTGATGGTCATGAAGTATGTAAAATCGATCAATCGAGCTTTTTAAATTCACAAGATTATGTATAGGTAGAAAAAAATTGGATATTAAAATTATATAATCAATTACGAGAACAAACTAATTTAATCATTAAAAAGAAATTATGGTTCATCATGTTAGAACAATTTCTTATGAAATATTTTTGGCATTCATGTAAATATACATAGAAAATGGATTTAATATTTTTTATTTTGAAAAATAACTTTTCAGAGAATTTATTTATTCATTCTAAAATCTTGTATTTAGGTGGAATGATATTTATTGCTATACCACTTCTATCGTATGATGGACCACCAACAACAGATGGTAATTCATATGTATGTAAAGTAAAACTCGAAATGTTCTTTGTGTAATAGATCCAATTGGAGATCCACTTGGTATAAGTACACGTACACAAGAGTTTACAGTTAGTAAAAATTTATTATCTTCGGGTGCTGATGCAGTAGAACGTATTATATCATCATATAAAGAAGTAAGATTGAGTTGATTCTTTTTTTTTTGGGAAATAAAATTTCTTTTAGATTGCAGAATTAGCAGGACGTACAAATCGAGTTTATACAATGCTTCATGTATTTGATGAGTGTGCAAATGAACGATATCGACGAATTTCTATGACAATCGATGATCATACATCGATAGATATGAAACGAAAAGTTATATTAAACCAACAAGCAGGTTACATATTTTTTGATTAAATAAAATTAAATAAATATTTTTTTTATTCTTATAAATAGAAGGTCAAATTATTGAATCAGATGAAAATATAATCGTTGAAAATGTACCAATTATTACACCAAATGGTGATATTATTGTTGAAAGTCTTTCGTTGAAAGTAAAACTTTTTTTGTAAATAATGATATATTTTTATATTTCTAATTAGATTATCCCAACTATGCATGTTCTTATCACAGGTCCTAATGGTTGTGGTAAATCTTCATTCTTTCGACTTATTCGAGGTTTATGGCCAATCTATTCGGGTCGTCTTTATCGACCAAATCCATCAAATTTCTTTCTGATTCCACAGAAACCATACATGTGTCCAGGTACCTTACGTGATCAAATAATTTATCCACATACAATCGATCAAACATTTGCTAATGATGATCAATTAATGGAAATGTTACATTATGTTGAATTACAATATATCGTACAACGTGAAGGTGGTTTAAATGCTGAACGTGATTGGAAAGATATTCTTTCTGGTGGTGAAAAACAACGTCTTGGTTTAGCTCGTATGTTTTATCATAAACCTAAATATGCTTTACTTGATGAATGTACAAGTGCTGTATCGATTGATGTTGAAGGAAAAATTTATGAACGAGCAAAGCAACTTGGTATTTCTCTATTGACAATTACACATCGACCTTCTCTTTGGTAAGAAAATTTATATTTTGTTATTAATATTTGAGAATATTTTTTAGGGCTTATCATACACATTTACTTCAATTTAATGGCGAAGGTCAATGGACATTTGAAGTTCTTAATACAGAAAAACGTTTAACTCTTAAAGGTGAAAAAGAACGTCTTGAAGCACAATTAGCTGGTGTTCCTGCAATACAACAACGTTTAAGTGAATTATGTCATTTACTTGGTGAAGATACGATAGACAATTGTAAATAATATACTATTTCAGTTAATATAAAACGAACAATTTTCTTTTTTTTATTTATTTTATAATCATATTACTTTTTTTTGTATCAATTGTATTTTAATAGTGTAGGATATAAAAAAAAAGAAATACGCAATAGAAATAATTATTCTTACGTACAATTTGGAACTGTTAATTTAAAGTGAAAATTAAGATTTTCGTACGTCGTCATTTAATATTTAATTAAATGTGTGACTTGCAATTCATTAGTTAACGCTTTCTATGTGATAATTGTATCATTCTTTTTTTATCACTATTTATTCTCTCATCTTCGCCTCCTACTAGTCTTATATTTCTTTTAAAACGATATGCTCAATCTTTACTATACTTCAATTCTATTATACTGATTCAAATTTGTGATAGTTGATACAAGCAAAGTAAGTTGTTCAAATGTATGAATCACATATATAGTATATGAGTTTATAGATCATGAATCAATCGACATTATTTATCCTATCTGCTGTTCTTATACAATTAACTTCCGCATGTTTTATTACAAATTGTCCTATTGGTGGCAAACGAAGTTTACTTCTTAACAATAATCATCATAAGCATGAAGTTAATAATTATTCTAATAAATTTTCATATCTTATTTTTTCTTTTTTTTTGCATTATTTCAGTGTCCAAGTTGTGGATTCAATGGTCAATGTTTTGGACCATCGATTTGTTGTACAAGTTTAAGTTGTCGTATCGGACATCCATCTGACATTCATCAATGTACAAGTGAAAATCGTAGTCCTGTTCCATGTACTATCAAGAGTGCAGTTTGTTCAGCAGTACCTAATGGTCGATGTGCTGCTAATGGAATTTGCTGTGGCACAGGTATAAGATTATAATCATATTTGAAATTCTTTTTGAAAAATTATCTATCTCTTAGATTCATGTCAAATGGATAAAAGTTGTTCAATATCATCAAATCAAGATGACGAATCACCAAGTCTATCAACATAATATCAATTTCGTTTTTCTTTCTTGATTTTGATGTTCTATCCTATGATTGAAATATTTTAATTAAATAAATAGTTATCATAAGAATCAGATTGTAAACTTTTTCTTTTTGTTCAAAAAGTAAAGATAATTTATCAGATGTCACTAGCTTGTTTTGTTCATAAGATATTAACTGCATGATTCCAATTGGATCAATAGGAATCACTGAAAACACGTGGAATTTATCTTTCTTCTTCAGTTAGATCAAAAGGCATATACGAGAAAGTTCATATTTCTTGTAAGCATCATGGCTCGTCAATATTCTAATCGTTCATTTATTCCAACTCATGAATATCCTTCATCAGATAATTCATCTAGACGATATCGTCAATCATCACAGTCACAGAATAATTTTTCTTATTTTCAATATCCACCTCACCGAGAAATAAATAATCATCATCATTCATCATTACCTTTTAGTCGTATTACAGTAAGACAAAGTCTTTTCATAGATCAAACAATTCCCTAAATAAATTTCATTTTTAAAAGGCTTCAGCAACGACACCAAATTATCGTTTTGAAAATCCATCTGCAGCATCATTTACTCGTCATCCACCATGGTTTGATGGTGATTGGGAAGATCATCATCATGGATCAACATCTCATCATAATAATAATCATATAAAACGTCAACGTTCATCAACTACAAATAATTCAACAAATTCTCAATCATATCATCACCATCATCATCAGCAGCATCGTCATCAACATGAACGAAAACGTTCAAGAAACAATGAAAATGAATATCATCCTCATTATCAACCATATTCGTAAGACTTAATCGTCAAGTAATATTTTTTTAAGCTTCATTCTTTAGAAATCATCGATCTGCTAATCCTACATCACATCATACTCCTTCATTTTCACGATCAATTAATAATGAATCATATAATCGTTCTGTTCAACCTCATCATCAATCACCACCTGTCGCTACATCCTATCGTCAATCAATGCCTTCTTCTTCTTCTTCTTCAGCATCGAATACTTATCATCATCGAAATGCAATGACATTTGAACCTACATTATATCATCCTCCAATATTTCATCAAACATCAATGTCTACTCATATACATCAACGACCTTCATCATCGTTTCTTCTTAATAATTTACTTCAGTAAAGATATAATATTTTTTATTTTAATTTGTGAAAAAATAATTTTTTCTATTCTTTAGTCGTATTATTGATGCACATGCAGCATCATACAATAATAATCATATACAATATCATCATCATCATCCTCCAACATCAGCATCAATTGATTTGATTGCTTATGCATGGATGTCACCTAGTCATGAAATATTTTCTGTACCATCTACATTTAATATTCAATTTAGTGTAAGATTGCTTTTTCTTTCAATTTGTTTAAAACAATATGAGTATATATATCTATAGGATATTTTCGATTTAATTATGCCTGATGAAACACCAGTTGTTGGTTTAACTGACAGTGAACTTGAACGATTACCAACAATAATTTATTCAAAAACATGTAAAAATATTAAAATTGATGATAAATGTGCTGTATGTTTAAGTGAATATATTAATGGAGAAGAACTTAAACGTTTACGTTGTAAACATTACTTTCATAGTGAATGTATCAATCCATGGCTCAAGGTAAATTTCCGATTGATAATTTTATTAAATATATATATAGAATTTTGTTTTAGACATCAACACGATGCCCGATCTGTCGAGGTGAACAGACAAATTAAATAATATATTGTCCGGATTTTTTTTCTAGCTTTGTATGTATAGTTTCCAGATAAACACGAGTTGCATTATTATTATCTTTTCTTTTGAATTGTGAACATATTTTTGTTTTCATATTTGTATTCTAGAATTTCTTTTTTTGTTTTCTATTTTGCCTATCTTATGTGCAATAGTCTTTCAAACATTATTTGAGAAAAAAAACATGACACATCTATAGTGAAAGAGAAAAAAGAATTGAATATTACTTTTTTTCTTGTGTTTCTTATCATTTTTCTTTGATTCATTTTACATATATATACATACATAAGAAAGTCTCACACGAATAAATCATATTACGGAACAAAAAATAATATATCAAAATTTATGGCAACTTGAATGAAGTATAGAAATCCGTTATCGATATTTATTTTATACAAAGGCATGCATTGAGAATTTTGATGATAAAGACTTATCTTTGCTTGTTTATCGATAACGTCACAGATTATTACACAAGTAAGAAACTGTTTCACAAATTCGAATTCGTTTATATCAAGAAAAAATTTGAAACGTTATTCTGAAGCGTTCAGCGTTATAAGTATAGAGTGGTAGACCTCAATGAAATAGCAGGGGCGAATTCAAAATTTCTATGAAGGGGGTGGCGGTTTATAAGAAAAAAGTGGAAAGTAGTATTATTTTTTAGGAGAGAAACCGATAGTGTTCTACCTGTTTTCAGTATTTGGCGAAGTATCTATTTTCGAGGGGATGGCGGTCGTCAGTTCACCTAATATCTGTTTTTATGTATCACTCTTATACAATACCTACTGCCATTGAATATACTTAATTTTGATTATTAATATTGACTATCAACAGATGAACTATTTCTGATTCAATATTATTAACATAGAAGACTAAGATCTCTTGAAAGCAAGAACGTAAGCTTTATCATCTCTGTCCGTTATCATAAATAGTTAATCATTTACTATATATTTCATTTGATCAAAACTCGAAGAACCTATGATCTATATCTATGCCAAACAAAAATTTTTCAACAGTAAAATATATTCTGTCTGATATTTAAGAAGAATCCATTAGTATTTGATTTTATTTGGTTATCAAATGTTTTTGTATTTTTTCAAGTTAGATGTAGGTAAAATATATTTAAAAAAAAGAAACAAGTTTATATTAATCACAATCAAGTATCATATGTTCATCGGGATGTTCTAACCAATGAAGAATTGATGAAAGTTCATCTTCTAATATTTCATTAGATTTCTTTTCAGTAGTTTTGTTATTTTCTACCGACAATAATTGACGTGCTTTCTCTTTAATTTCATTCGAACAACCATCACTGATAAGAAAATCAAGTACATTTTCTAATTCTTTTGTTTTTCCTCCAATAAATTCTATTAAATGAAGACATTGTATTTCTGTTTCATGTCCACCATCACCAATTAACAAAGGTATTTGAGCAATAACAATTGTTGATAATGATTCACGATTAATAGTGTTTCCAAATGAAAATTCATATTGATTAATTGAACAATCATTATTATTTGCTTTAGTCAATATAATATACCATGCATGAGCAAGTGCACAACGAACAACATCACCAAGAGAATATTCTGTAAGTTGAATAAAATTTGATGTTAAATAATTATCTAATGGTGAGAGTAAATCATATTCCACAAGTGTTGCAAGAAAATCAATAAGACTTCCTTGAATATATTCATTATTATTATGAACAAATTTTTCAATAATACGTTGAAGGAATTCATTGTTAAACCAAGAAGGATATTTATCATGTTTGGATATGTTTGTTGTTGTTTTTATTAATTGTATAAAAAAATGAAGAATAGAATCTTTATTATCCCATTGTAATAATTTATCTGTATCTTGAAAAAGAAGTTTTTCTATAATCGTATAAAGTGATTCAAGATAATATATTCTATTTGGTGTATTAAGTATTAAATTAAATAATGCTTGATAAACAAGTGTTGTTCTAGTTTTATTTTTAATATGTTCAATAATAATATCATCTAGATTATTGTTTAATAACTTAAATTGTTGTAGTTTTCCAAAGCAATTGATTAATTGTGCAAAATTTTTATCATGATTATTTTCTCCATTTAACATTTTAACAATTGTTGAAGAATAAAAATCAAGTTTATAAAGAAATGATTCAGAATTTGATGTCAATGGTTGAATAGCATCAAGAACAATTGATGCAAGATCCATTGCTTCAATATTTCGTTCATATAAATGACAGCAGATATATTCTGTTAATTCACCGAATTCATCTTCTTGATCAACTGCAACTATATACAAAAAGCATATTAATCAAACGGAAATGATATGGAGGCAAATGAGCGAAAGGCAATTCAGCGAAATGATTTTTCTTGATGAGGATATGGACGAAAAGTGTTTCGCAGTTGTGACTTTCGCGCATTTTTTTTCACTCAACGGACACCATATCTATTGCTGAAATCTCACGAAAGATGAACTACAATGTTATTTTCTTCTAATTACAGGGTTAAACTGAACAAAAATGCTATGTGATGTATTGCATCTTCAAGGAAACAGACGTACATCATATTATGCCAAAACGAAGATCAGAATCGATTAAATAGAAAACTTTCTTTTGACTATACTCATATCTTGGTATTAGTGATCCTATGGGTTGTCGTTAGTAGTACAAAACTATAAAAATAAGACTATTATTGAATTGTCAAACTTAAATAGACTCGAGTTGATCAAAGGTTTCGAACATTATAGGTGAAAACTGAAGTCTCCGTAGGTAAAAATTTGAGTTTGTATCTGAAAATATTGTTATATTCAGATACTAAAGTGGGTTTAAATTAAATTCTAATCCTAATGATGAAATGAAGATAAATCAATGTCCTCTGGTCTCTAACTTAAGTAATAGAACTTACGATTTTGTTCGTGTTCATCGATTTCTTCAATTTCTGTTTCTTGCATATAGAGAAAAAGTGCTTTGAGACAAGCATTTAATTTAATAATTGGCTGTTGATATTCATAACGTGATGAAATAATCGATAAAAGCATATGAACATAATCAGATAAGGATTTTTCTAAAATACGATTTAAATAAAAGACAAGTTGATCTTCATTTAACACATATTTCGCTGTTTTTAATACAAAAGCACGTATTGCTGTAGTATCTGACAAATTTTCATAAATATTTAATTCTTTAATTAATAATTGTTGTTTGTCTTGATCCAAAAGTATTAGAATATGATAAATAAGATCTGAATTTAATGAATGTTTTTGAATTTGATCGAATAATTGATATTGATCATGTTTAGAAAGATAGAGAGCTAAAAACTGTGCCAATGTGTTTCGTACATAAAGATTTGGATCTGGTGAAAATATTTTAATAATATGTGTAAAAAATTGTTCATCAAATGATTGATAAAGATCATGTTCATAAATGAGAATAGCTATTTGTAATGATAAATGTCGAACAATACTTGAATAATTTAAAAGTGAATGATAACAAAGTCTATTAAGGAAATCATTTTTATTCAATTCTAAAATATGTAAATGTTGACGTAATGAAAAACGTATTAAACGTAGTTGATATTCAAATGTAACATTATTTGATGAATGAAAAGGTAGAATAATTGATAAAATAATTGTTTCAATTGATGATTTTAATTGTGGATATTTTTGAAAAGTTTGATTTAATAATTGAGTAAATCGTTCGAAATAATCACGAGATAATTGAGGATTATCAGATTGAGTTTGAATTAAAAAACGATTGAATATTGTTTCAATTAATTCTAAGTGTTTTTCATCGGTAGTACCCATCTTAAATAAAATAAATATATTCTAACGTCTTATTCTATATTTCTTAGGATAATATTACATTTCGCATCCGTTGATGCAATAGAAATTTAACATTATACTTTAATTTGAGTCTTCCCGGCGGATATATACATATATCAGTACAATTAGATACAAAATTTAGAATTATGATGTAAAAAGAAATATAAAACTTTTAAGAAAGTTCAATCTGTTTTTTAAAAATAGTATAAACTTATTTCGTTAGATGAGTCAGTATGTTTCAATATCGACTTGCTATTGGTTCAATGTAAATATATCATTCTCTATTATATATCAGTCATATTTTATAATAAATCTTAAAAGCAATGCTTAGATATACAAAACACTTCTAACAATTATGTCTATATCCTTTTATAACTTTAAACAATGAAAAATGGAACTATTAATAAGCACAGTTGCTATCTGTGGCTCCCTCTTATGAATAGCTTTTAAAATTTAGTTGACGAATAACTCTCAAGTAGAAATACTATTTTGTGACGAGAATAAATACATATAACTTACTACGGTAATAGAAGACTATTGATGCAAGTAATTTCCAGTAATACTGACGTGAGAGAATGTTCTCGGGTGTTCAGATAAATGAGTGAAAAGTAGAATCTATTAAAAACTATAACATGAATAAGTTATATAAAATGTAACGAGAAGAAAGCATTGACTCAAGTTGATTCAAGTTTATTACGAGCAATATATTTACGAACAAGTCTTTGTGCTTGAATTACATCAAGTAATCCATCATCTGCTAAACTTATATTTGATATTTGTGTTCGCATATTTACAGGTTTAATAGTAGTAGAAACAATTGTTGGTATGAACATGCTTCCAGTAGCATCAATAATAAAAGCAAGATCTAAATCTGTCGATTTATTTGATTTTTTAGTCATTGTGTATAGTCCAATTATATATTGATTTTCAATAAAAAAATAAATTTATTTCTAAAGCCTTAGCCTTTATATACGAAGCAAATGAGCTACAAGTAGATTATTGCAACATCATTGGGAAATAACTTGTATTTGTTTATTCTTTATGTGAGTATGTACTATTTGTTTACTTATGCAAACAATTGGCATCAATTATTAAACTCAAACAAATCAAAATTTATTATTTATCATAAAGAATAGGAACTTTTAAAAAGACGGATGGAAACAAATGATTTATAGGATCATTCTAATCCTACACTGGAACAACAATAGCCAAAAATATTTATCAAAATATATGAAGAATATCCAAATACATGAATCGGTTCTTACTGAATACACTTTTTAATCATTATCAAATTGAAGCTTATGTACGATATATATTAGAACAAAAGAATTCTATTATGTCTTGATAATAACTGCAAGATCTTTGTCGATCAATTATATGAATTATTTCTGGATAGTTCATTGTCTATGGGTATCAAACTATTATGCTGCGTTGTAAGAAGAAAAGATACATAAATCCCTAGAAGTCTATAAATATAAGGATTAAAATAGCTCGGACGAACATAATCAGATGAAAATCGAAGTATGATTTGAGTCATCATTGTCAAGAAAAAATTATTATATATAACTATGTTAGGATAGAGAGAGACTAAGCCAATATCTTTGAACGATAGTTGACGTGACTAACGAGATAGTATTTATTGTTGATGAGGTCAAATAATTTATTACTATCAGCTGTTAATGCCTTGAAAAGACACGCTCTCTTGTCATTTGTTATATATACAGAAAAAGAAGAATAAAAAAGAGCGAGAGAAGAAGAAGAAAAAAGGTGTACACGTAGAGTAGTCCATAAATCACTATACCGACAAAAGATCGAATATTTTTATTAGAATTCGATTAAACGAATTTATTTTTTCATCGTTCATACAAATAACGCTAGTAAGAATCTTTGTTAAGTATTAACATGTAGGAAAGAACAATATAATGAGTATGGATTCTCACTAATCTTGTTTGTATAAATTTAGAGTGTGAACATATCTCTATTCTTGGTAAAATAAATAAATCCGTTTAATCGAATTGTAATAGAGGTATTCAATTTTTTCTGGGTAAAATTGCTTTTAGATCACTTTACGCGTATACTTTTTCTCGTCTTCTTCTTCTTCTTCTTTCTCTTTTTGCGATTTTGTTTCTTTATCAATAACAAAAGGCAAGAGCACATGTTACTTTTCAAGGTATCAATAGCTAATAGCAGCAAACTATATGACCTTATCATCAATATATATTGTCTCATTATCCACGTCAACTATCATTCAGAGATATAGACTTAGTTTCTATTCTTAATATAGTATGTATAGTTATATATATAATAATTTTTTCTTGACAATGATGGTTTAGATTATCAAAACGCAAAATTTATCATATTTTCAATAAAAACATTCTTCAATTCTTACATTTATTGTCCTCATCAATATCAAATATTTATCTCCACGACATTGTCAACATCATCCGGTGAATCGAATGGAAATAAATAATGAATATGATAAAATATCATATCGAATAACTTTATTTATAATAATTTACATAAAATCGATTCAACCAATTTATAATCAATAAAATTCAGTATGTATTTAGAATAAGATACTATATATAATATTTTAACTTTTAGAAAACGAGAAATATTCAGATACATATAATATTCAATAGACATGTAGATCATAAATCTTTGATGATCATTGTACAAGAGCGAGTATAAAACTAAGACCACTTTTACAGAATATTACTTTATTTTATGATATGCTTTTCAACCTATTCAATTCTTAATCGCATATAGACGTTAGATAGCTCTTTTGTCTGAATACAGAATGAAGAATAACAAAACTAAGTAGCATAGTATCAGGTGCTCGATGAAAGTATGTGTTTATATTAAAATATATTCACGGGTGTTATTGTCAGAAAGAAATCAGCTGTATAGCGTTCTTTGTTAAGTTATGCAGAGTATATTTTTGTGCTGTTATGCACAGCTGTAAGAATGATAATAAAATAGTAAAGGAATAATTCTTTACGAATGAAATCTTTCAAATAGCCAATTGTTTTTTTTATTAGAAACATACTTAGATGTATGCGATATACTAGGCAATCGTAGTTCTTCCTAGATGTTATATTAAAGCTATTATATGTCTTCTTATCAGAGTCTTCTTTCATCAGCTTCAATTTCTAGCCAGTCTACAATATATCACCGATCTTACTATTTATTTACACGCACTTCAATATTTATTTTTAAGTGCTAAAATGTATCGTTATAGAAAAGAAAGAAAAAAATAATAATATAAAACAAATTGCTTTTTTTTATCTTTTCATTGTGTAAAGAAAATGAATCATTAAATGGTACTTTTACATATGATTGTTCTTTCTTTTCTTGTCTATAATGACACATTTTCGTCCTTGAAAATTAAGCTGAAATATATATAAAAAGATAATGCATCTAGTTGTACATATTGGGCTGACGAAATTAATGCAATGAGCTGTATAATATCTTATATATTCCTATGAAGAAACTATTAACTGTTTAGAAAGTTTTGTCTGTTAGATAGTTTGAAACATCTAGTTTGGTAACTTCTGTTATTATAGCGTATCTACTAGAATCATAACACATCTGTGTATATATACATGACTGTCTTTTATTCTTCAGATGATAAATATCTTCTGATAGCTGTTAACAGTTGGCATATAAATGTAAACGTCTACAGTAAATATGTCAAAGTAGGATTTAATCTTAATAATCGCCAGGGGTGGCGCGATCAGGGGAGGTATCGGGGGTATAATACCCCCTTAATCTTCAAAACTTTCTATTTTTTGCTCAATAAAATCGGCAAATCTTCTTAAGTTTTTTACCAAAGATGATGCTAAATCCCCCAGAAATTCAAAAACATTTCGGTACACCTGTCCCCAATGTTGACTGACTCGCGCCACCTCTGATAACCGCTAAATCATAACCTTTTTGTATTTAAATATTGCGTTAATAAATAAACTTGAATATGAATGAATATATATAATTGAGTAGAAGAAAATATCAAATTACTTTTCTATTTTTTTATCACGGTATATTAGTTCGATAGAAGAAAAGAAAGAGTCATCCTTTCAAAAATTTATTTCAAATTATTGAACTCAGTTAAAATCTCAAGTTTAAACTTTTACATACAAAAATCATTTAAAATCATCTTTATTGTTGCTATGCATCAAACATTCTCCTCTTATTTCATGTACTCAAACACCCAGTTCGTTAAGGAAACATGATAATAGTTCGTTTCGTGCTAGACTATATTTATTTTCCCTACGGAAAAGATTATAGGCATGTACATAGTGTAGCTAATCAATTATTAACAAAGTATAATTTCAAAATGTTGTACTTGTTATTCTTCATAAATTATTTGTGGTTCATATATATAATTATTTGCAAAAACAAATAGTAATAATGATGTAGTAGAATAGAACTTATGATTTGATTATAATAGTAATTTTTCTTTCTTATATATATATAAGAAATTGGTTTAACGAAAATTCAATTTCCCTAGAGATTATTCGATTTCTGAATAATTAAAATACAATCAATTTATAGTCCATATATTATAAAAATATAGATTGATTGAAGATGCAACTATTTACATTAGATTTTTATATTTATTCTATTTGAATAAAAAAAAGAAATTTAATAAATGAAGTCAGTCTTATTAAGTGGTTCTCCGCATCTAACAAATCTTATGAGACATTAATTTTGTTATTATAAAATTAGCAAATTCAGTACGACAAAGATAAGCCGATCTTCTTTTTTTTTCTTTAGAAAGTTATTTTAACATAACTGTCATTGTCGTTGTTGAGTGTTTTTTTAAACATTTTATTCAGTTTGAATTTTTATTAGCAAATAAACTATTTGTAAGGATTCTATACAAATATCAAACGCCTTTTTTTTGTTTCATTTTCGTTCTCAAGGATAGGCACCAATCATTACAAATAGAAAAGAATACGTGATGAATGATCTTTACCATTGCGTTCTTATCTTTATCTTCCAGTAGTCGAAATGTCATCATTCGTTCTTTTTGTGTGTAATCTCGTTTTTTGTAGTCAACTCCCTGCTGTACGAATGTATATTATATGTAAATAAGTAGAAATTTTTCTTGCTGTTCTTTTATAATTTACCTTATAGCTTATACATGTGCACATTTTCTTCGGCTAAAGAGAAGAAGAAAAAACAGCTTATGACAGTCGTCTATCCAGAAACATTTTTTTTCTCTATAGCACAACCGAAGATGACATATATTTTTTCTTCTTCTATTTAGCAAACGCTAGGTTTTTTTTCGCACGCTGATAAATTTAATTGTGTTTGAATGAATCTTGCTTATAATATGGTATAGAACACTCCTATATGATTTGTAGATTACAAAAGAACGAGAAGAATAGCATATCGTGTCTAGCATTCTTCAGTTTATGATTAGAACAGTAAGTAGAAAAATGCGAATAAATATTCCTCTCGAAATATACAAGTATATTCTTTCGAAAAAAAATTGAGTTTGCAATATGTTTCCGAGTAACAGTTGTTATAAAGACGAATATTAATATAGTATATCATTTCTATTTTATTTATTATTGTTCTTCTTCTTTGTTTCTTTTTTCCCCTATGGTATTTATTTGAGACAGAAATATGAAGAAGGTCAATTGAGATCAGACGTGTTAGGACTATATTTTCTATCATTCATAACAAATTATTAAGTAGATAATTGTGTATTAAAAGAGTAGTGAAGCGGACAATTGTTAACTCACTTGAATGTAGGCAGTGTCATTAAAATAAAATGCAAATGAGGTAGAGAATTAAAGAAACTGGAAGAAAAAAGAATAATTTTTATTAACACATATTTTTTTTTATCTTTAAGAAAAGAACACGTCAAATCATCAGTCTTGGGTGATGAATGAATGCGGTACTTACGTCTTCGCTTACGCTCCTCAATCTTGTTGAGTATAACAATATTCGTTATTGTCTTTATTACACTACACATATTAATATGGTCAACAAATGAGTTTGAATTACTCGAAAAAACTCCAGAATCTGTTCCTAAACCACCCGTGGCTATATCATTTCTGTCAGCTCTCGATCAACCAAATATTTATGATTTAAAAGCATCACAATCACATAAATTAAATAAACATTCATCATATATAACTTCTCATCGTATTCATGAACTTTTTCAATTAGTACGTACTACTCGAAATAATCAACTAAAATCAAATTCTATTAATTCAACATGGAATTTTGGCAAGTTTATTCCAAAAAAATTACCAACACATAATAATAATACAAAGACGAATGTCGATACAGTTGATTCAGTCACTATGAAAGAAAAAAATCATAAACTTCAATTTAATATAACAACAACAGCTAAAATTATGAATGAACAAGATAAAATACAACTAAGACATTTCATACATCATACATTAACAAAATGGAAAGCAGATCATGAAAATGATAAATATGTAAATTTAGCTGATATTATGCATGATGGACTTGCACAAGATGAACCAGAGTAAGTTAGTTAAATATGTCTGTCGGATAGAGTTTATTTGATGATGTATAACAATTTCTTATTTTTTTTTATATAAAAATGATGATTTATTTCGTAACGGTTTGTCTAATGATTAATGATGATGACATTATACACATGTTTCTCTATTTCTTTTCTTCTTATCACTAGTAAGAATATACTAAGTATATTAAGAGACAAGATATATTATGCATTCATGCATATCATAGTAATGAATGAATATGTATGTTAATATTTCAAGGTTATCTATTTCAATCAATCTTTTCTTTTACATTTTACTTTAGGATTATACAGATCAGACAAGTTAATTAGAAAAAAAAACCTTTTTCGAATTGTTTACTTTTTTTTATATAGAAGATAAAACACGATTCGATGGAATATGTTGTATTCAGAGAAACATTCCTATTATTTCAACATTTTTTTCTGTTTGTTTGTTTTATAGATGCTTTCAGCAGAATTAAAAATATAACATGCAATGAGGTTATTTTTATTACGCAAACGAAGGTTTTCTATATATATATATATATATATATATATATATGAATTACTACGTTTTCTTTCTGATGAAAAGCAGATATTATCTATAATCGTTATATATGAATATTAGACTAATCATGAATTTTCTATCAAAAAAGAAATGAGAAGGCTTTCGCCAGGTAAAATTAAGTCTGGGTGTAAGTCAACTAAAAATATTATTTCTAAAAGTGTATCACTACAAAATTAACTTCTACAGTTTTTTTTTAATTAATGTCATATTTTATGAATATTAAATTGTTCAGAGTAATCATTCATGTGATATGAACCTAATCTGATTCGTTTTACGATCATTAAACATCATAGATTATACATTCTATTTTCATAATACATATATAATTATGACATCAAAAAAGACGAGTATGACTGAATAACTAAAAACAAAAATTTTTTTCTGACTTGTAACTAAGATATTATCTTACATTTAATTAACATTTGAGATGTTTCTTATTTTTATATAAGAACTATTGAATATTTTATTTCGTAATAATCTTATCTAAAGAAAATTCTCTCTTTTTTTTCAGTAGATTAAATACGACATGGTTTAAATATATCAAAACGGTGACTAATTCTCATGTATATAATCCCAATACTCCAGAATTCAAACATCTTTTAAATCATTTACAAAATGGTAAAATCTCTGAAGCAAGTATGAAAATGAACGACTAACTTTTTTTGATTTCGTATATGTTGAATATTTATTTTATCATAGGTGAAATGTCTCAAGGCACCCAAATTAAAGTTATTCTCAATCTACCTAATGGTTTTCAAGGATTATTAAAACCTTACAGGTTTGTTGAATTTCTTCTTTCTTTTTTTTTTATAAAAATTGAATATTATATTTAGGGTGCCGCGTAATTATCAAACACAACCAGATCATTTTTATTTTAGTGATATTGAAAGACATCATGCTGAAATAGCAGCATTTCATGTAGATAAGTAAGTTTTAAAATTATTCATCTTCTATTTGAGAATATATTTATTTTAGAGTACTTGGTTTTAATCGTGTTCCTCCTCTGATTGGACGATTATTGAACATAACCAGTGATATTCGTGATAAAGCAACAGAAGAATTAGCTAAAACATTTTTTATTTCACCTGGT